TCTAAGATGTCTGAGAAACTTTCAATGTCTGAGAAGATACATCTGTGGGATTAAAAGGTTAAATATTGCAAAAAAATTATAAATTTATGAATTAAAGGACATAGCAAATGTCAAGAAAGTCATAACAAATTAAAAACACAGAAATAAATTTTAAATAAGAAGGCTGTGGAACAACTTCAAGATGCCTAATATATGTGTAATTTGAGTACCTAGGTGAAGAAGAAAAAAATTTAAGAAAAAAAGTTCAAGATTTTCAAATTTAATAAAAATGATAAACAAAGAGGTCTAAGAAATAGAATTAACTCTAAGCACAAGATACATGGAGAAAACTGTATAGAGCTACGTGATAATCAAATTGCTTAAAGCAAGAGACAAAGAGAGTATCTTAAGAGTCTGTAGATATCAAAGCAGTTACATCACTAGACTCCCACGTAGTCGACCGCGGTTCGTGTCCCGGACCTGGTGGCTTAAAACTCACGCTGGGCGCGTGTGCGTGCGTGCCCAAGATCCCGAGAGGAGAATGGAGGAGAAGGGATTGCGGCGTGGCCATCCCCCCTGGAGGGGTGATTTCTCACTTTCCCTCTCACTGTCTCTGCCTCTCTCTCTCTCTGTCTCTGGTGAGTGCATGCACCCTAAACCAAAAACCTCCTAAAATAAAAAAGAGAATATCTTAAAAGTAGTCATAGTAACACATGCCCTTTATACAAAGAAACAGAAATAAAGAGAATGAGGTATGTTTCGCCTGAAACAGTGCAGACAATGAGACAGTGGAACAACATCTTTAAAGTACTAAAATGAGAAAATTATCAACCTAGAGTGGAAATATCTTTGAAATGTTCTAGCCTTTGAGAATTCCATAGTGAAAGAAAGAAAGGAAGAAGGAAAAGAAGAAGGGAGGGAGAGAGAAGCAGCACTTGGTGGGGGAAGCCAATGCAGGAGACTGCTCCAGGCTCCTTCCTGCCTCCCAACTTGTCCCAGGAATATTCTGTCTTCTTAGTTCAACACGCTGTGCAACTCCTCTTCCCTCTTCTATCTGAAAATCTCCAGGTTAGCCCCAGCTACACTTGGTCTCAACAGGAAAGTGAGCAACAGCAAAAGTTGGCTATATAACTGGAAGACAAGGCTCTCTACCAAGAACATATTTGAGAAGTAGAGCTCTTCTTCCCCTCAATACTTTAGAAACAACAGAAAAACAGGTAGTAGTGTATAATCTACCAGATGACTAGAAACCAGTGCAGAGATGCAGAAAGTATGGGAAAACAAATACCTTGTTCACAATGGAATAGAGTAACTCTTCTTCAGCTATGGACAGCACAAAGGAATTTGAAGGAATGTCAGAAATAGAGTTCAGGCTATTAATGGTGACAGAGATGAGGAAGTCTTTCCAGGATTTGTAGGGGGAAATAGACACCATAAAAAAAAAATCAATCAGAACTCCCAGAGATGAAGACAGTAATACTGGAAATCTAGACCTCCCTTGAAAGTATTAATAGTAGACCAGGCCACACAGAAGACAGAATCTCTGAGATGGAGGACAAAACCTTTGACTTAGATAAAACTACCAACAATAATTTTATAAAATGAGGACAACATATGAGAAATACTAGATATTATGAAATACCCAAATATTTGAATAATAGGTATTCCAGAAGGTGAAGAATTAAATAAGTGAATAGAAGGTCTATTCCATGAAATACTTGCAGAAAACCTCCCAATCCTAGAGAAACAATCAAACATCCAAACTCAAAAATGCAAAGGACCTAAAAAGAATCAACCCAAGAAGATTCTCTTCACAGCACATCACAGCCAGTATGGCCAAAATCACAGATAAAGACAGGATACTAAAAATGACAAGAGAGAAACATCAAGTTATATACAAAGGTTATCTCATCAGGCTAATATTAGACCTCTCAAGGGAAACAATGCAAACAATGAAAGAATGGGGAGATACATTCAAAATGTTAAAATAAATGTTTACCAAGATTACTATACCCAGCAAGATTATTCTTCAAACAGGAAGAAAAGATAAAAACATTCTCAGATAGGGACCAGTAGGTGGTATAATGGTTACACTACTGGATCCCATGAAGTTGACTGCAGTCTGAGTCCTGGACCTGGCTGCTTTAAACTCAAGCCAGCACATGTGCGTGCATGCCCAAAGTCCTGAGAGGAGAATGAATAAGAAGAGATTGTGGCATCGCCATCCCTCCTGGGGAGCAATTTTTCACTTTCTGTCTCTCTGTCTCTCTCTCTCTCAGTCTCACCAGTGAGCACATGCACTTTTTAGCAAAACTCTCTAAAAAAAAGAAAATTCTCAGATAAACAAAACCTGAAAGAATTTACCAACACCAGAACAGTTCTTGAAGAAATTGTGAGGTGAATGCTATACAAGGAAAACTAAAGAGAGACAGAAATAAGAGAATAAAAATGACCAAGAAAATGGTTAACATAATGGTAAGGACAAGTCCAGAAGTAGCAATAATAACACTATATGTTAATGGATTAAATTCTCCAATCAAGAGGCACAGTATACCTGAATGGATTAAAAAACAGAAACCCTCTATCTGTTGCCTATAGGAAACACACCTCATGAATAAAGACATACATAAACTAAAAGTGAAAGACCAGAAAAAGGTATTCCATGCAAAAGGAAAGTACAAAAGGGCTGGAGTTGCAATACTGACTTCAGACAACACAGGCTTTAAAATAAAAACTGCAGGAAGAGACAAAGAAAAGCATTATATAGTAATAAAAGGGCTAATTCATCAAGAAGATATAATGCTTATAAGTATCTATGTACCCAACACAGGAGCACTCAAATACATGAAGGAAAGGATGCTAGATCTAAAAGGAAAGCTAGACTGCCACACACTAATCATTGGGGAAATTAAATGGGAAACATTGTCAAATATAAAATGGTCCTTAGCTCTCAATGTATAGAAATTTATGTCAATGGGTGTTCCAAAATTATATGAGATTCTTAAATATGTTATGTAATAGTATGTTATTTGTCACACTTATAAAACTAAATAGTTCCAACATAATTTGTCACAGAAATTATCAAATTTGGCAATTTGGGGTTACAGTAAAATTAGATCTCGAACAATTAAAAAGAAATAGAAAGGAGGGAGAAAGGAGGGAAGGTAAGAAAGGCAGGCAAGTGGGAAGGAAGGAAGGAAGGAAGGAAGGAAGGAAGGAAGGAAGGAAGGGAATTCTTAGTTTCAAGAATTTTAAATTCCTTAAAGAAAATAAACAATAGAATAAAGATTAAATATGTAATATAGCAACTACTAAAGACTTGAGGAAAAACTATTATCAAAAGGACAGTTTAGTGGGACACAGAAATGATTTATTACCTGCTGATGATAACATGTATAGTATTTTCAACTGGACTGATGTGAGAAGTAGTTCACATTGGGTGAATTCTTTATACAAGCCAAATGATATATAGTGATTAAATGTTCAAAAAAATAATGAGAATAAATAATAATAATCTGAAAAAAGTGATCTAAAGCTATTTGATGATGATGATGTGGATAGTAATGTCTTTGTGTTGACTGATATGCATGGCAATCATGCTAGAAAAAGAAATGCAATACACTGTAAATATTTATGTGATTCAATGTAATATAAAAAAGATTATGATAATAAATAAAATTAAATGTAAAAAAGAAGACAGTTTATAAAAATGTTCATTCTGTTAATCCAGATCTCTATAGTCATTACAAGGAAAGAAAGATACATGTTTCTTTCTTGAGCAAGTCAATGAAAATGAACTCTCTCCAACACATGATTAAAAGTCAGTAACAAAGAAGGCAGCAATTTGGTGACAGAAGAAATACAATGTCCCCTTACAGAAAGGAATGCAGACAAACAGATAAGAAAGCTCATCAGTGAGAGAAAGGGAGAAAAATGAGAAATATGCACAAGGAAATGGATATCCGTAAATTCCTTATTCATTTTAGCAATTCAACCATTTATGTATTGTTATTATTTTCCTTAGTTTAAATTGGAGAAACTAAGTCTGAAAGAAGTTAAGTAACTTGCTGAAAGTTTGCATGGACTATACCCAGCACTCGCCAAGTCGAAATCAGGGTTATTTCCATGGCACTGAAACTCACACATGAATCTCTTTTAATAGTACGGAGGGAGGAACCAACTGGTGGCATAGTGGTTACATTTCTGGACTCCACCATGGCTGACCATAGTTTGAGTCCTGTACCTGGTAGCTTAAAAATCACATAAGAGGCATGTGTGTGCATGCCAGGATCCTGGGAGGAGAATGGAGAGGGGATTGCAGCGTGGCCATCACCCTTGGGGAATGATTTCTCACTTTCTATCCTTCTCTCTCTCTCTTTCTGGTGAACACATGTACCCTATAGTAAAAATCTTTCTTTAAAAAAAAAAGTTTGGGGACCAGCAGGTGGCATGGTGGTTAAGGGCGCTGGACCCCCGCATGGCTGACCACAGTTTGAGCCCCAGACATTGTAGGTTGCTTTCTCAAGCTCTCTCTCTCTCTCTCTCTCTCTCTCTCTCTCTCCCTCTCTCTCCCTCCCACACACACACTATCACTCTCTGGTCAAATTTAAATAAATAAATGGATAAAGTTAAATAATAAAATAATTCTTTAAAAAAAGTATGGAAGGGTATGAACACATTATTATGTAAGAATCTTGAAATTCTTGGTGTGATTCTGTTATTTAACCAACCACACACAGATTGTGGTATACCATAGCCAACAATACACTTTTGTATTGTAAAAGTGTAGATTTCATATTGTGATTAAACATGCTTTATTATTTATCTGAAATGCTAAGACTAATCCTTGTTTTACATGAAAAGAAAATCCTTCCAGGCTTTATTGGATAAATCTGATTAAATTTAGGAAGTGAAAAGGGAGAATGAGAAAGGAGGGCAAAAAGGCAAGCATACAACTTAGGGGTTAATTTGTTTTAATTATAAAACTGATGCAAGACTGTAGCATAGAGCAAATATTAGCAATGTCCGCATCTGTTGGATTTACACTCCAGGCTCCTGATTTTATCTGGTTGCCATCACAAAAATCTTTCTATTGCCTTGGTAACTACTTCAACTTAAAAACAATGAAAGAGCTTGATTCTTCTGTTTGGCTTTCAATTGTGGGCCTGATTCTTATTTTTATTTTAAATACTAAAATCTTCATGACTAAAGCTTTCAAGGGATATTTTCCTCCAGGACCCAGACCTTTGCCAGTTATTGGAAATCTGCACATCCTCAATATGAAGAGACCATATCAAACCATGCTGGAGGTAAAATAAATAAATAAATAAATAAATAAATAAATAAATAAATAAATAGTTATTTATTTCATACCTATCTATAATTTCCTAAATCATTTTTGCCCATGTGGGTTTATGAGCATGCATGTATTAGCAATATATGTATATAAATTAAATATTATTCTAAATTACTAGAGCTGCTTTCAATTGAATAGGTAGATGCTTTTAAATCTACATATAAATCATAAAAAATCAGTAAATATGATTATATCATTTACAGAATTATTTTATTTAACATTATTTATTTATTTATATTTTTAAAGTTGACCAGAGAGGGACAGAGAGAGAGGGAAAGTGAAAACGCAAGCTGCCGGGTGTGGAACTTGAATTACAGTCAGCCATGTGGGAGTCCAGCACCCTTAACCACTACACCAGCTTCTGGTTCCACAATTATATTATTTAAAGGTATTTTCATTCTGAAATATTTATGACCTTTAACTCAAGCATTTTTATCTATATTTTTCATAGATAGCCTATTACAAAGGAACAGAATTGTGACCATAGTCTTACTCCAAAAAGTTAACTTCTCAAAACACTACAAAAGGCATAATCAAGACAAAGCCCTAAAAATTGAGACCTCAGATTTACTTCTGGGTCTACCATTCATTTGCTGTGTGAATTTCACATCTGACTTTGTTTTCTTGTCTATAAATTTCCAGAGCTACACTAAGCACTAGACCGAATTTCTCTAATTTTCTTCCCCAAAGATTCTACAGTTACTGATTGTGGGATAAGATGAACAGATATTTAGTACGTGGGTAGTAACACTGAAAGATATTATTATAATACTCATAGAATTGGCATATAACCACACATTTAAGTGTTTAAATTCTAAAGGGCAGATGATTGAAATAGAATCTTGCTATGTTCAATAACTTATTTTTCAATAATTTTTAATATGAAAACCCTAAAGGGAGATATGCTGAACAGATAGGACATCATTATTTTACCTCAGTGGATAATACAATAGTAATATGTACTTTTTATTTTATGAAGTGGTATAAGGATTTCACTTACTCCTCACAATCATCCTAGGGAGAAAACAGGGCTGATATGTTTATTTCCATTTTACAGGTAAGTATGGCTCAAAGTATCGTAACCAAAAAACAATACCTGACTTTTCTGATCTTTTGATACTATTTTCTAGCTCTTTCCCCTACATTCAAAGGTAAATTCCTCTGAAAAACAAGATCTCCCTTTAATAAGACTTTCATTTAACTCTATGGGCCCAACCTTGTGTGTTTATTTTCACAGCATTCCTGTCCTTTGCTTCCATATTAACAAGGCTAATCTCTATACTATTTTGTCCTTTGGGTGTTTTCTTCCTCCTTTCCAACTCTGTCCCAATGTTTGAAACTAATTCAACCTACGAAATGTCCTTTCTCCTTGTTCCCTCAACCTTTGATTACAATTGTTTTTTAAAATCTATCTCTCTCTGAGGCTTTTCATTTTACTTGGCACATGACACATGCCTGTCTACTTTCTATCAACATATAGTGGTTCCTACCCAACAGACTGTCCTCACAGCCTTAAACTCTCATTTTTGTTTTCACTGCCTTGTAATATTGACCTTAATATATATTACCTCTGAAATCATTGAATCTTTCTGCAATTTTTGTTGCAATTCTAATGTTATTTTCTAAGGTCAAATTTCTTAAAGAAAGGAGTGCTAAAAGTCACTATCTCATTCTCCACCCAAACTTCTGTTGGGTTAAGAGTGCAGGCCCGGTAGCCTGCAGGCTACCGAATTCGTACCTCTTGCTGAGTATCGCCACTTACTAGCTGTGTGACTCTGTGACAGGCAATGGAGAGGATGACAAGATCGACTTCCCTGGCTGGTAATGTGTACTGAAGGAGATAATGTTGCTAGATACATAGCCAGGAGTTGATAAATGTCCCTTGTTATTTTTTGAAGTATTAAAGAAAATTAATTTTTTTTCATAGTATAAAGTGTCATATATTAGTAAAAAACTAACTTGGGTTTACTGTGCTCATAGCACCCCACAAGAGATAGGGCATGAGTACAATGGTCAGGGGGACAGTGTGGTAGCCCGAAAGCAGTTAATCTCCCTAGAGTCCTGAGTGGGCATTTTTGAGACCAAAAATATAATAGGGAGACACTATGGGTCAATTCCATAATGTAAGAGCACTGTTACTATACAATTTGAAACAAAACAAAATGGAACATAAAGACAATCAGCAGAGGAGCACACTAACAGCTCTGACAGGTATAACCACAGGAGTATACTTAGTGAACCTGTAGTGGGATTCTCAATGAGAGAGAGACAGGACACCAAGACTTTGTACAGGAAAACAGCAATTTATTTGAGTGCCAGCATCGGCTCAGTGGATTCGCACCCAAAGGCTGAGCCCTGAATTATTTGGGGCTCTCCCTTTTACTTGTTTTGGTTTCTTTGTCTCTTTTTTTCAGTCATACACATTTATCTTTTTAGAGGTTTTATTTTGTTTTGTTTCTGCTATAGGGCGCATGCACTCGCCAGAAAGACAGAGAGAGAGACGGAGAGACAGAAAGTGAGAAATCACCCCCCAGGGGAGGATGGCCACGCTGCAATCCCTTCTCCTCCATTCTCCTCTAGGGATCTTGGGCATGCACACACACACACCCGGCTTAAGTTTAAGCCACCGGGACCGGGACTCGAACTGTGGTCGACCACATGGGAATCCAGTGACACAGCCATTACGCCAACTGCTGGTCCTGGACATACACACTTTTACACACTTTTGATTGCTTAGCTTACATGAGGTAACATATGATAAAAGTTGCTTACAGATTTATGCTGATATATACTAGGCCCTTAGCAAGGGTACAAAAGTGACAAAATTGTTATGGTGACAGGGCTACAAGGTCAGTGAGGGTGGCTAAGCTGCCATGGGGACAGGGCTACAAGATCAGTACAGACTGCACCTGCATTTTTAAGTTCTAAGCATGCCCGTTATCTTCCTTGGTCCTGGAAGCCACAAAACAGTCCAAAGTTTTCACTTCCTAAGACCCGAAAGCTGATCAAGGTCTGGTTCTCTTTATACTACTAATATATCATGACTTTTTTTTTTTTCTTATACACCTAAGCTCTCCCAGAAATATGGCTCCATTTACAGCATCCAAATGGGACCAAAGAAGGTGGTGGTGCTCTCTGGCTATGAGACAGTAAAAGATGCCCTCGTGAATCATGGTGATGAATTTGGAGAGCGACCTCAAGTGCCCATATTTGAAAGAATTTTTGAAGGAAAAGGTAAGAAACACTACACTCAAAATATACTCTTGTGGTGAGCATTATTAATTCAGGTGCACTGTATTCTCTAGCATGATTCCTTTTATGGTTTAATTTATCCCTCATCAATGTATATTAAACAAGTAAGATTTACTAAGGAGAAAATGTGTAATTTGCAGTTTTATTCTTATTTTACTTGATACTTATTTCTATTTTTTTAAAAACACTATTGGGGCCAGCAAGTTGCATGATGGTTAATGTGCTGGATTCCCACATGACTGATGTGGTTCAAGCCCTGGACCTGGTGGCTTGAAAGTCATGCCAGGTGTGTGTACGTGCATGCCCAAAATCACAGAAGACTGCAGTGTGACCATTCCCCCTGAGAGTGGTGATTTCTCACTTTCCCTCTCCATGTTTCTCTCTATCTAGTGCACACACCCTACGGCAAAAACCTTTAAGAGGGGGGAGGGCAGCAGATGGCATAGCAATTGTAGTGCTGGACGCCCACGTGGCAAATTGCAGTTCGGGTCCCAGACCTGGTGACTTGAAAATCACACTGGGTATGTGTACTTGCATGCCCAAGATCTCAGGAGAAGAATGGAGGTGAAGGATTGTGGCGTGACCAATCACCTCTAGGGAATGACTTCTCGCTTTACTTCTCCCTGTGTCTATCTGTCTCCTTCTCTCTCTCCCTCTCGCTCTGTCTCTCTCTCTCTCTGGTGAGTGCACATGCTCTAAGGCAAAAACCTCTCAAAAAAGCAAAATAAAACAAAAACAAAGAAAAAGTATTAACCACCCACTGATTGAAAAGTACAGTGTTAGGTGGCCTGGAAATACAAAAACAAAGGAGACAGCCTAAGTAGGTAATGGTGTAATAGCTGACAGAGATTCTTGAACAGTACACTCAATGTTACAGACACTCTGAATCACATTTTCTCCTGGACAGCTGCATCTTGCTCATGGGAGTCTTTGCCAAATGCCTTTAGGAAATCCAGATTCTCTACGATTATGGCATTCCACTAAGTAATAACGCTGTTAAAGTGGAAGTGATTTCACCTTGACAGTATTTTTCATTAACTCATTTTGGCTCCAAGTGGGTCATTACTTCAACAAGATTGCTTCAAAATATTGCTTCGGCCATGTTCTAAAACATTATTTAAAAGTATTTTCCATACTTAGTGTCCTTAAAAAGCTAGTGTCACAAGTTGTTAATAGATGTCTACAAGAAAAAGCAGTGCTGGCGAGAATCTGGGAATATTGTAGATTTTTCTTTGTTCTCATACGCCTGTTAGAATGTTAAAGCTTCAGAAAAACACCCAAAGCTAGTTTAACTATATTAATTTAATTCTCCATATTAGTCTTGGGAACATTTTTTTCCCCTTGGCATTTTCACCTACATCTCATGAAATCGGCACTGAGGAAATATTCCTTCAAGATCCCTGGTCTAGAGTTTTCTAGATTCATCTTCTGGTTTGGCTTGGTTTTGACTTCTAGAAATTGAGGACACCTAATTAAGTCTTACCTTTACTCTTTTCTATAATATCTTAAATATTGCTAATTTTATAATTATCCACAAAATTGTTTTAATTTTATCTATGTAACATTTGTTATTTTTTTCCTCAAGCAAACCATTCAGTGTAAGAATCAACTAGTCTTTTTTGGTATGATGCCTTAACTGGCAGTTAGAAATACTCTTCAAAGGAAAATTACTATATTCCCTCTTTTTGTGTCTCATAATCCACAACTATTCACATAAGCGTAAGTATACCTAAGACTAATTCTGTATAAACAGAAGGCAAATAAATATTTCTGGTGCCCACTAGATCATTTTGGTGTATTTGTTATATAACTTTAATACATTGTTTTGCTGCATAACTTAAATTATAGCTAGGGCTTCAGTGCCAACATTTAAAAGAAGTTCCGTACTTGACAGTACTAAACTCATATTTTCCACAATTACATGTATATTCCCTGAAAGAAGCAGTGGCTTTTGTGGGTCCTTAATACTCCCATAGTGTAAAATGTAAAATTTTAAATATAAAATGAGATCCTTTGAAGAGTCATATATTTGTTGTGAATGAATGTTATGTAATAAAGGAGCCAATGGACAGAATAAGAATATGAATT